CTTCTACTAAAAATAGTTCTTCTAATACTAGTTCTTCTACAAGTAATAGTTCTTCTACGAGTGATAGTTCTTCTACTCATACTAGTTCTTCTAGTACTAGATTTTTTCCGTCTTCTTCTTCTACTAGAAATAGTTCTTTCTTCTTCTTCTACTACTAGTACTAGTTCCCCATCCTCTACTAGTACTAATTTTTCTTCTACTTGGACTAGATCTTCTTTTTCTTCCCCTTCTTCTCTAGTACTAGTTCTTCTTCTACTCACACTAGTTCTTCTAGTACTAGATTTTTTCCTTCTTCTTCTTCTACTAAAAATGGTTCTTCTGTCTTCTTCTAATACTAATTCTTCTTCTACTCGTATTAGTTCTTCTAGTACTAGATTTTTTCCGTCTTCTTCTAGTTCCCCATCCTCTACCAGTACTAGTTTTTCTTCTTCTAGTACTAGAGCTTCTTTGTCTTTCCCTTCTTCCCTAGGACAAGTTCTTCATCCTCTGCTAGTACTAGTTCTTCTTTGTCTTCTTCCTATTCTGGTGCTAGTTCTTCTTCTTCTTCTTCTTCTTCTACTACTACTAGTTATTCTCTCTTTCATTCATGCAGCAGCATATTCCAAAGTACACACCCTGACCTAAAAAGCACTACATGGGTTAGCACTTGGTTACAATGCAGATCTAATTAAAACATATACGCCTGCATGCTTTCTGCATTCTGTTGATAACTTATTCATCCCCCAGAATTCACACAAAATCGCACCTTTTCCAGGTCACTTTCATAATGTGGTCCCTCCCTTTGTTTTTCTCTCATGAAATAAAAACATAAAGCCTCTGGCCACAACTGTTGCTGCCAGAATTTAGATAGAAGTAGAGTCATTGCTTTGGAGGTGATACACCATCTCGTCCAGTCACATCGGTGTCAGGATGTTGTAGGATGCCTTGACAAGTAGTTGCAAGTTGCAATTTTGTTGTTGCAAATCTGTGGTCTGAACTGGGCTTAAAGGAGGATACCAACCTGCAGAGTTATGCAACACCCGTCGTAAACCTCCAAGCATGATGGTTAAAAAACACTTATTATCTTCAGAGTACAAGCTTCAGGCATCTCACCGCAAAATGTGTCATAATCATCAGTTGTTGAACCAATTAGAGATGAATCTTTACTGCCAAAGTGTGACACAAATTATCATTATAGCTACACAGATGTATTTATACTGGATTGCATCATATGTTACAGGTGCCTGTGATGTTTTTTTGTATTGAGATAGTGTGGAATTACTCTGTCAGTGTCAGCCGTTTGTCTGATGCTTTAGAGAGCAAAGGTCCACAGATAATGTATTAATTCTAGCTGCAGACTTCACTCTGGGATATGCAGTTTACCTCCACTAATTTCACCTGCTCTGAATCCATCCATCAAATCTCTAACTTTATAGGCCAATGGAGCACAACCATTCTGTGTGTGTGTGTGTGTGTGTGTGTGTGTGTTACCTCCAAAGTCCTTTTTCCAGTTGCAAGGTACTCTACATTTCATCTTCTTGTTCTGCTGGTCACATGACCCCTCTCTAAACCCTGCTCCGCAGTCCCCGTTGCTAGGGACACAGTTGCCATAGCGCCAGTCAGTGCATTCTGACCCGGGCTGGGAGGGTTTGTTTTTCTCTGCGGACAAAATAAGGATTCATTAAGTGTTTCAGACACGCATAGTTTCAATATTATCTCAACACGCAATCCATAAATTCAGGGACAGTGCTGCTGGTGGCGAGCACGAGCTGCTGAGTTCAACCAGTCTGCTGGAGAGGGCTGCTCACTGGGAACTGCCTGTATGAGGAAAGCAGATTAAGCAATTAGGTGTTCAGGGCCCTTCCTTAATGTCTACAGGTAGTGTGTTCCATAGCTTTGAGGTGTAACTGACAAAGGCTGCGTCTCTGATCTTCTTCCTGTTGCTGCTGGGAACCTCCAATAACCTCCAAGCAATGTAGCTTGGTCCTAGCCCATGTGGGACTTTGTATACAAGAAGGAGGACCTTAAAAGCAATTCTAAATGTAACAGGAAGTCAGTGCAGAGCAGCTCAGACTGACCTGACGTGCTCTCTCCTCTTGGTTCTGCTTAATAGCCGAGCTGCAGAGCTTTGAATGAGCTGAAGTCTCTCGATGGTGTTTTTTTGGGAGGCCAGTAAAAAGTGTGTTACCGTAGTCGAGGCGGCTTGAAATAAAGGCATGAATCAATTTTTCAGCATGTGTTTCATTTAGAAATGGTCATAACTTAGCGATGTTTCTGAGGTTGAAAAATTATGTTTTCGTCACCTTGTTAATGTGGGACTTAAAGCTCAGATCTGAATCTAGGATCACACCAAGACTTGTAACCTGAGATAAAGGGCCAGTCCCAATACCGCCCTCTTGGCCCTACCCCTACATTTGCGCGTTCCACAGTAGTGGTGTCCCAATCCCTTTTCGCGTGTAGGGATAGCGGGCATAACAAGGGATAGTGGGCTAGCCCTTCGGAGCGAGGGATTTCAGATGCTGACTTGCCAGCGAGGGGTTAACGTCGCCATGGCTACCACCAAGCAAGAGACGGGGAAAAAAGTAAGTACATAGCTAACGTTACCGTCGCCAGGTTGCTTGTTAGCTAGCTAGCTAGCTCGCACTATCTGCCGTCTGTCATCTGTCCTGTTCTGCACAATTGTCGGATTTTTCACATTACGATAACACGCCAGCTAGTTTAACTATGCTACCTTGTAATGTTAGCTGGTTAGCTAGCTAGCAGAAGTCCCCTGTCACCTGTCATTCATCAAACGAATCAGGATGAATGTGGCAAATGCAATTGGTAGGATGAATGAGACTCCATCGTAGATGGCGGTTGGAAATGTAGATGGCTTGCAGCTTCTTGTTTAAAAAAATAGTTACGTATACGTGAACGTAACCGATGCGGTGACGTAGTGAGTGGTGTCCCAATTCCTAGGGAAAGATTTCTACCCCTACCCCTCGTTGCTTCATTTTGAGGGCCAAGGGGTAGTGGGCAAGGGCTAGGGGTAGGGCCCAGGGCTAGGGGTAGGGTCAAGGGCTAAGGAGGAGTAGTGGGCAAGGGGGGGCGGGGGGGGTATTGGGATTGGGCCTTAATCCAGGGAGTTAAATTCTCCAGATTATTAAACAGCATTTCTCTTCTTGTTTCAGGGCCAAGAAGCAGGATTTCAGTTTTGTAATGTAGATATAAATGATTCTTATTTTCAGGTGATTTTTCACCAAAGAAAACACACTTATTATATTGTATTCTATTTCTGCTAATATATCCCCCTAAATCCTACACACTGGAGCTTTAAGGCCAGGCTGTCCTCAGGCTCTCAATCAGATCTCACAGTCACTTCTGGCTCCAAAAGTCCAAGACGGTAACAACGAAACACACAAAATGGGTGTGTGGCAGGTATCAACTGCAACGGCTGAAGCCTGGGATCTGGCGGCCCTAACTAACCACTTTGTGACTACAACTTTGCACTTGAAACACAGATATTGGTATTCATCTTCTTATCTACACCCCAAAAAGAAAGAAAATATATTTTCCAAAATCTAGAAAGCTCAGCGTCTAAATTTGGTTCTGACTTAATGATCACAAAGTGAAGTACAAGTCCAACCTCTCCTTTGGTCTCTCATTTTCCAAAGTGTGTTGCTCAGACTTTTGTCATCAGGGCAGAATTGGACCAATTTTAATACGCCACTTCCCACACAGAAGTTGTAATCTATAAAAAACTTTTTGTGAATGATGGGATGTTTTAACAATGGACTTACTAGCAGGAGCATATATTTTATTGATAAATCGATGCCCTCTGCTCCACTGTGCATAGCTCTAAATGCCAAACAGTACTCGACTTCGATTAAATGGATTATTAAAGATCCAGTGAGTTGGATTTGCAGAGATGGGATATAATAAGTCTGTTTTCGTCGGTGTAGAATCGGCTAAATGTAAGAAACTTTTTTATTTATTCATTTATTCTTGTTATAAAGAGAGGGTCTTTGGGTTCATCTCAGTACCTGATCTTGCATTCATGTTTCCCTCACTTGAGTCTCTATCTCACATCTATTTATAGATATATATCCAGTCAGGGGAGTGTGTCAGTCAGTAAAAGTCTTCATGTATCCTCACTTCCCTCCCCTCTGAATGTCTCCTCGACTCCTCTGAGCCAATCTAACAAATTGAGACGTCCTACAAGATGGTGAGTCTTGATCGATTTCAGGGTCAAGTGATCAAGGATAGAGGATAGAGGAGTCCAGGAGGGGTGTTGGGATGAACCCCACGTCTCCAGAGATCGCCATGTTGCATGGAACACACTGCTCCTTTAATGCACATACAGTGTGTCATATCCTCAGAATGCTATACATACACTATATTTCAGTTTCAGCAGTCAAGATTTGCATTACATTTGTATTGCAGGTTCATATGTGACAAGAAAAATAAAGAACGAGTGCAGGCATGACAGAGAGAGAAAGCGTGGATCTTACCTTTTTTGTTTTTCCCTCCAGCCACAGTTTGGACGGTGATGAGCGTGACTAACAGCAGCAGCAGCAGCGGCGCAGCCCTCATCCTGTACAAACACACAGCAGTGGGACAAATCAACATTACAAAGGTTCACATTCATCACGACTGGTAAACCATTAAGTGTTGACCCTCACCCCAGGGTTATTTCATGTGAAATCATTATCAGCTCCTCTCACCACACCCTAACAGCTCATAACAACCCGACAAGGGACTTCCTAACACTGTCAACAAGAAAGCAGGCACATAGTTGTTTTATAAATCTAACTTTTGTAAATCCTAAATGGGACGTAGAATGTCAGGTTTGCAGGACACGGCACAAATCAACAGCTGGTTATTTTCATATATTGTAGGCTTAAATTGCCCATGTGGTGCGTAGCCTGAGAGCCAGCAATGTGATGGTGATGACATTCGTCTAGGTTTCTGTGTTGTCTAAACAGCTGGTGGACAAACACTGTCTCTCTGTAGTCCTTTTGTGTCTCTTTGTAGTCCTTTTGTGTCTCCTTGTAGTCTTTTTGTGTCTCTTTGCAGTCCTTTTGTGCCTCCTTACAGTCATTCTGTGTCTCTTTGTAGTCCTTTTGCATCTCTTTGTAGTCATTTTGCGTCTCTCTGTAGTCGTTTGTCTCTTTGTAGTCATTTTGTGTCTCTTTGTAGTCATGTTGTGTCTCTTTGTAGTCCTTTTGTGTCTCTTTGCAGTCATTTTGTGTGTCTTTGTGGTCATTCTGTGTCTCTATGCAGTCCTTTTGTGTCTCTCTGTAGTCCCTTTGTCTCTTTGTAGTCCTTTTGTGTCTCTTTGCAGTCCTTTTGTGTCTCTCTGTAGTCCCTTTGTCTCTTTGTAGTCCTTTTGTGTCTCTTTGTAGTCATGTTGTGTCTCTTTGTAGTCTTTTTGTGGTGTCTCTTTGCAGTCATTTTGTGTGTCTTTGTAGTCCTTTTGTGTCTCTTTATAGTCCTTTTGTCTCTCTTTGTAGTAATTTTCTCTCGTTGTAGTCCTTTTGTGTCTCTTTGCAGTCCTTTTGTGTCTCTCTGTAGTCCCTTTGTCTCTTTGTAGTCCTTTTGTGTCTCTTTGTAGTCATGTTGTCTCTTTGTAGTCCCTTTGTCTCTTTGTAGTCCTTTTGTGTCTCTTTGTAGTCCCTTTGTCTCTTTGTAGTCCTTTTGTGTCTCTTTGTAGTCATGTTGTCTCTTTGTAGTCATTTTGTGTCTCTCTGTAGTCCTTTTGTGTTTCTTTGTAGTCATGTTGTCTCTCTGTAGTCCCTTTGTCTCTTTGTGGTCCTTTTGTGTCTCTTTGTAGTCATGTGTCTCTTTGTAGTCATTTTGTGTCTCTCTGTAGTCATTTTGTGTCTCTCTGTAGTCATTTTGTGTCTCTCTGTAGTCGTGTCAATTTGCAGTCCTTTTGTGTCTCTCTGTAAAGTTCTTTGACTAAAGTGGTCCTTTTTTCATTTATATAACTCAAAGGCTAAAACAACAGGGGTCTTCCTCCTGATTCACCCTGCTTTTTAAAATTTGGAGTGGACAGTTACAGTTCTTGTCTAATATAACTCCCTTTGTTGGCCCTAGAATGCTGCAATATGTCTCCTCTGACAAACATACAGAGCTTTACTGGGAAAGATAAAACATTTAGCTCTCTCCACCACCTGCATCCCACCCCACTCTGCCAGGTGCTCATTTATGCCCTGCATACAATACAGAACAGCACATCAGCCACAAGCACAGCATGACAAAGTGATCAAGAAAGCACATCAAAGATAACATCCACCAGCAGTGAGCAACCAACAAACAGACATACTCCTGTAAAATGTAGTTCGCTCCTGTCGGGGTCCGGGTTCAGCTTTTAGTCCTGCTGCATTCATCATTTAGACACAAGATAAAAAGACAGGCAAAAGATGGATGCTATTCATGTTTTTCAATTCACAAAACTCTTTTATCTTCATGTAAAGACATCAAGCTTGCCAACTGACATCATTAACTATTACTAGCTTTGCCTCACTAGCCAGCAGGATCTGGTATCAGCTGATACACCCCAGGGCGTCAGTGCTAAGCTGATGTGATCAACACCTACATACTGACAGAGCAGAAAGAACGACTCAACTAATCAACCTATTTGAAACTATTAACATAGAGGAGTAAAAACTTTATTTCTTGAAATATTTTAACAAACAATGATGTTCATTATTGAAATTACAGAAACCTGACACATTTGTCACCAGGTCCACTTACATGTGGAAGCTTTCAGCCACATCTCATGGCTCTCATCATAGAGAACACCATGACAGCTGAACAAACTCTATCTGCTCCTGACAGCCATAAACATGGATGGATTACTGAACAGGCTGACTGGGCACAGGCCCAGGGGCCCAAAGTGTCAGGGGCCACCCGGTCTTTGCTTGTAAAATGTCAAATGTCCAATTAACACTTACTGACAAAGGAGGCTGAAAATGATGATAAGTGACACAAAAGGAACTGCAAAGAGACACAAAATAATTCCAAACATGGGCAAACAACCACCAGGAGACACATAACATCTACAAAGAGACACAAAACAACCACAGGAAAACACAAAATTACTACAAAGAGACACAAAACAACCACAGGAAAACACAAAATTACTACAAAGAGACACAAAACAACCACAATAAGACATAAAATGACTTCAAAGAGACATAAAAGGACCACAAATAGACACAAAATCACTACAACAAGACACAAAACAACCACATGCAGATACAAAATGACTGCAAAGAGACACAAAATGACTTAAAAGACACAGACAACAACCACAAAGAGACACAAAATGACTTCAAAGAGAAAGAAAATGACTTCAAAGAGACACAAAATGACTTCAAAGAGACACAAAATGACTTCAAAGAGAAAGAAAATGATTTCAAAGAGACACATACCACAACAGATGCATAATGACACAAAAAAACATAATGTCTGTGTGTCTTGCTGCTATATAGGAGAGGTGGAGGGGCCCAGGGGCCCATTGTATCCTAATCCGCCCATGGCAAAGACAGGTGGCTTAAACCTCCAGAAATAGTAGGTGGTCAATATAACAATGTCAAACTGTTATTTCCAAGGTCAACACAAACTGTTATATATAATTCCAAACAACACATGAACACTATCAGTGTCCTCATGAAAAGCTCAGATAAAACGTTTTTCAATATTTAGTTTTTTTTTCACATTTCCTTTCTTTTAAGTCAGTAACACACAGTGCGAGCGGAGCTGGTGGAGCATGATGGAGTGGAAGTTTCACACACCAACCAGGCTGCAATTATGCACTGCTGCACTAATAACCTGTCCAGGGACTGGAGTTGAAAAGCACCGCAGCAGCATCCCACGAGGAAACCATTCCAAGCCTTTTCCAGGATCATATGAAGCAGCAGCAGGGGAATGAAAAAAAATATTTATGGCAATAAAGACTTTGGTCAACCAGAGCCTCATTTATGTATCATCAGATGCTAAAGAGACGGGTTTTTAAAATGATGTTGAGTTAAATGTGACATGATGAGACAAAATGAGAGGTTTTCCCTTTGAGTTTGTGCATTCTGCTGTTAATTTATTCAAATTAAATTATTAAAACATATTTGTAAATGACACTGAAGATCAGCTGAACCATGTCTCTGAAGTCCACATATTTACATTCACAAGTAAAACCCAGCACAGTTTAGATTAAAGGAAGCAGCAACCTCTGGGGCTGATATCTAGTGATGGCCAAATGAAGCTTCATGAACCACCAGTTGTATTTGCTGAACCCACTAGATGGCGCTCTTGGTGTAATGAAGAAGGCTCAAGGGATGGCAATGCAGTTTGTTTTCATCTAGCAATGGCCAAATGAAGCTTCATGAACCATTGTCTTTATTTTTTGGGTCCACTCTGGCACTCTTTGTTCAACAAAGGGTTGAAACCAAACTGCATTGCTATCCCTTGAGCCTTTTTCATTACACCAAGAGCGCCATCTAGTGGGTTCAGCAAATACAACTGGTGGTTCATGAAGCTTCATTTGGCCATCACTACTGAAAACCACAAACTGCAGTTCCTCTAATGGCCACTTGGGGGTGGCTCCAGAAGCCAAAATAATAAATCTGATGCTTCCACTTTTAGATGTATTTGTATTTTGTGTCATTTATTTATTCTTATTTTTATATCTTGAATTGAGGGCTGCTCTGTTTCATGAGCCTTCTTGTCAAATCTGTTTTACCTCTCCAGCAAAAACATTGCTGTAACAAGCAAAATAATAATAATTAATTAAAATTTAAAAAGAAAAATGAATACATTTAAACCTAACCTTAGTTTTCTTTTCCTTAAGTGAAAAAGCTCTTTCATAAAATATAACACATTTTCACTTGAACATGAATACATATCTTAAGTCATTTGAAAGTTATAGGTAATTAATTTTAATTTTAATAGTGGGATTAACTTTTAAACTTTTGCTGCCGCTGATTCAAAATGCCTCAAAGAGTGAACAGGGGTTTTTAGAGCCGCTAACAGATGGCTGAAGTGGGATTTTATTGATTTTTATAAACACCGAGACAGCTATTGTGCCATGAAATTTTTACACACTAGGACCCACAGGCAGAGCATTGTGTGCAGCCTTAAGTGCAGCACAAACAGAGAGGAAAAGACACAGAGAGCGAGTGAGTGAGGGAGGGAGACAAACTAGAAGAGCTTGGCTTTTCATATCCTCTTTATTTTAATAAAAACTACAGTACTAGGACAATAAAAATCACTTCATGGTGAGATAGTGTGAGTGAGGCAGCAAATTAAAAGATGCATATTAAATGCACTTTATACCCTGCAGTATTGCTGTTTCCATTCCAACTGGGGATCTTTGCTGCAGGGCTTACCCCTCTGGCTGTATTGCAAGTGCACTTTAAAGGGAGAGTTCAGATTTTTTGAAGTAGGGTTTTATGGGTTACTTATCCATAGTCATGTGTATTACACACAGTAGATGTCAGTCAACACGCCCCCAGGTTGGAGAAGCAGGTTAGAGTCTGACACATAAGCTGAGTAATGCATTGTTGTGGATGGGGGCCAGTGACAAAACGTGTTTTAGCCATGTAAAAAAGTTCCACCTACTAAAAAAATAATATTAGTTTAAGTGTACACTGTACTGAGAGTATTTTCACCGCTATACCTTTTCATCACACAGCCGATAATGGCTCCAGTTTCCAAATTCACCAGATTCCACTGAGAAAAACAGTAATTTTAGACTCAATGGAATCTGGTTTTGAAGAGCTCAATAGACAGTTTAATTTTCCAGTTGGGAATCCTTGTCTAATATTGAGGTAAAGCAATGGCAATATTCTAAATATAGCATACACTTAAACTGATATCGATTGTTCTGGGTGGAACTTTTTTAGGTGGCTAAAATACGTTTCGTTGCTGGCCCCCATCCACAGCAGTACATTGCTTAGCTTCTATGTCAGACTCCTGCCTGCTTCTCCAAACTGGGGGTGTGCCGGCTGACATCTACTGTATGTACTATACTTTCTATGAGTAAGTGCCCCATACAAGCTCACTTCAAAAAATCTGAACTATCCCTTTAAAGGTGTGTGTTCACCACCTCAAAACAGAAGACAAGTGACGCACAGATCTTACAGCAACACCATGGCACCCTTCTCTTTGCGCCACATATACATATTTTTCCTCCATTATGCGTCTTGTGTTAGCCTTCACAAGGGCATCAATATCGGTTGTGCAAAGTCATCCACTTGCCATGTCAGCTTGACGTGGTGAGTGCAAGCCTCCCCTCAAATTTGCATGGAAAAGAAGGCCAACAAAGTGTGCATTCAGCCATGAAATTATCAACTTTCGAAACCCAAATTCCTCATCTGTGAACCACTTTTCATTAAATATACATAAGTATTTTTTCTTGGGGGGGCCCTTTATAACAGTGTCCCCGGTGGCTCATAGTTAGCGTTTGCTGAGGAAGCATGCTACAAAATATGACCATATAAAAACAACAGCGCACGACGAGTTCAGTGCATCGTGATGGATTCGACCAATTACACTGCATATTGAATTTTTCATGTTTATAACTGCAGTGCAACATGTTTGAATGTAAGAAACAACAGCACAAATCTCTGAAGCTGTATTGACCTAATTCTGCGAGCAGGGCTGTCGTTACCAAATATTTTGTCAGGACGCGAGAAAAATCTGCATCAAAACAGCCATGAGACTAAGACAAGCTGGAGAATACGGACAGCACTCAAGGACTGCTGCTGATAACAAGCTATACTGTATGCAGATATATAAGTAATGCCATAGAGGAGCTGCAGCTTCTTTTCATCTCGCCTGACATTTGATTGTGGAGTGTGAAAGCATGGGGCAGAGCTTGAAAGCCATTGTCTCACAATAAATGCGTGAGAGTTGGCAGCTGCTGGCTCAGAGGACTTAACCTTGTGGAAACAACTGGATAATGAGGCAAAACAGATTCTGAGACAATGACCAATAACGCTGTGAACTCACGCTGTGCATCTGTGTTTGGATGCTGCTGCTGTTAGTCTGGTCTCACAGCTACTCTACCCTTTTAAACAACAAAATTGTTGCATGAGTTATATGTACAGCAGGGGGCGGGTGTTAAAGTTAGGCAAGTCATTAAAATATCAACCTGTTTCTATTCCCAGGTCCTGCACCTTTTAGTGTGTCTTTGTCACTTACAGCTGAAACACATCATTACACATCCTTATTGTTAGATTTAGGAAACCAAACTTCTTGGTTGAATTCATCTTGTGAGAAATGTCAGCGCTCATGCAACAGTTGAATGAAATTTGAGCCCCAAGAATGACGTTATATACTTAGCATAAAGCTACGTATTTAACGTAAAGTTACAGAGGTTAGGTTTAAGAAAAGAAACATGGTGAGGACGTACCTTAAAATGACTCAAAGTGCAGTAAAAGTCCCTGGCTAATACATGGCTTGTGGGCAAAGTCCTGCATTTTGTGACCCACTAGTGATGGCCAAATGAAGCTTCATGAACCACCAGTTGTATTTGGTGAACCCACTAGATGGTGCTCTTGGTGTAATGAAAAAGGCTCAGGGGATGGCAATGCAGTTTGGTTTCAACTAGTGATGGCCAAATAAAGCTTCATGAACCACCAGTTGTATTTGCTGAACCCACTAGATGGCGCTCTTGGTGTAATGAAAAAGGCTCAAGGGATGGCAATGTAGTTTGGTTTCAACTAGCAATGGCCAAATGAAGCTTCATGAACCATTGTCTTTATTTTTTGGGTCCACTCTGGCACTCTTTGTTCAACAAAGGGTTGAAACCAAACTGCATTGCCATCCCTTGAGCCTTTTTCATTACACCAAGAGCGCCATCTAGTGGGTTCAGCAAATACAACTGGTTATTCATGAAGCTTTATTTGGACATCACAAGATGGGTCACAAAACACAGTCTTTGTTCTCAAGCTGTGTTAGGAACTTTGACTGAACTTTGAGTCATTTTGAGGTACGTCCTCACCATGTGTCTTTTCCTAAACCTTACCTCCGTAACTTTACTTGCCTAAGCTCTGTTACTTTACGCTAAATGTGTAGCTTTAAGCTAAGTATGTAACGTCATTCTTGGAGCTCATCGTCTTTTTCTAAACCTAACCAAGAACTTAGTGTTATGTGGCCATTGCTGGTTGAAACCAAACTGCATTTCCATCCCTTGAGCCTTTATCATGACACCCATCTAGTGGGTTCAGCAAATACAACTGGTGGTTCATGAAGCTTCGTTTGGACATCACTACCATCCACCACCCCAGCCTGCCTCCTCAAGGGAATACTTGCTAAGTAATTTTGGGCTACACAAAGCTACTAAATGTACTATATTTTTATACACAGGCTACTTTCCTGAATATACTAATACGTGTTAAAACATTATGTTAATTTTTTTTGTTTATATTCCATTTCATTGGCTTAATATTATTAAGTATTAAAAGTTCATAGCTCTTTGAAAGAGTGTACTTGCATTAATATGCCTATATCATTGTGCCAGCGAAACAAAGGGAACAATTTGGAGGTGTTATTTATAGGTTATTATGCGATGGTTGTTACTAGAGATCAAACTCTGCTGTATGTGGTCCGTGAAGTGAAATGAGTTGGACATCCCTGCTACAGACTGGAAGGACAAAAGAACGGATAAGATGCCGCCCACGTGTACAAAAAGTAAAGAGTGAGAAGAGAGAAAGGCCAACATAAACAGAGAGCAGAAAACAGAAAGAGAGAGAGAGGACAGTCTGTCACAAGCTCTTTATCCATTATACACAATTTAAGTCTTGGTGAAGCCAGTGACCGAGAAACACAGTGACCACGCCACAGGGCTTTTTTATGTGCGTGACTGTAAGTGTATTTGTGAAACAGAACAAAAGCTACGAGTGTAGTGACCAGTTAGACAGTAGGTCATATCTCCGTTAAGATTTCATATGTGCTAATGCTTATTTCTACTTTATCGCAACCATGCACATTTAATTACAGGTAAAGCCACAATACAATTCAGTTTTCATGTTATAATTCCAAGTTGACATATCCATAAAGAAATTCTGACTGTTAGAGATTGTAATTAAAGATATCTACAAGTCATTTCTCACTGGTAAAAAAAAATGTTAATTCTTTATATCAGCAATTAATTTCTTACCTGTGAAAACGTTTTTAGTATATATCTGTAATAGATATTTGTAACTAAATTA